TTCTCTATGCTCTCCGTCTCTTGCTTTTTCATTGTCATTCCTCCTTTGTTGTCGTAGTTGACTCTCGTAGTGCCCTCATGGCTCTAGGGTCCTTTAATCCTGTCCATCTGGGGGTCGTCGAGATTCAACGTTGGCTGTTTCTTATTTCTAGTAAATTTAAATCAGTAGAGTTTTGCTGGGATCCCAGCCATATTGGTGTTTCTTTAAATGAGCGTGCGGATGCTGCTGCTAGGGAAGCTATCCGTTGTTGTCCCATCTCCCGTAAAGGTATTCCTTATTCCGACTTTTATCCTGTTATTCATTCCTCCATCCTTGCCCGTTGGCAGGGTAGTTGGTCCTCTGTAGTTAGTAACAAGCTGCGTACTCTCAAATGTAGTGTCCCCGTGGCCTTCCTCCTACCACCGTAACCGGCGGTGGGAAACTGCTTTGGCAAGGCTGCGGATTGCCCATATTCGCTTAACCCAGTCATTTAATGGAGCCCTGCCCTGCTCCTTATTGTCCAAATTGCGTTATCCCTTTTACAGTTGTGCGTATCCTTGTTGAATGTCCTGACTTCCAGGATGAGCATGTCTTGCTGTCCGACCGTCCCTCGCGGTCACTTGTTCCTCGATAGAATTCTAGGTGAATCGGATACTTTCGATATCGTTCACCTTATGCGTTTTTGTTCTCATATTGGCATTCTTGGAGATATTTAGCGCCCTCTAATTATTTCGCACTTTGATGGTGCTACACACCCTTCCCGGTTTAGTGCCTTCTTTTGATAATTACCTTACCTTCGTGCCTATAATTTGTTAATAAGAGGTGGGGTGGGGGGGGAATTCAATGATTTTTCTTTTAAAAAACACTAAATATATTTAGGGTGGAATATTCTTGCACAATGAGCCTCATTTTAAAGCTGGAGAAGTTGTTGACCTGGAAAATGTACAAAAGTCTGTTACTGCCTAAACCCATTCAATAAAATATACTAATAATTATTTACACACTGAACAAATTAGAGGGAATGGGTCCAGGAGGCATGGCAGGAAGTTCAAAATAGCCCCATTTAAAAGTACAGGTGCAATGGGTGCACTTAAGAGAAAATTCTATTTGCATTAAGGATCCAAGAATTTAAAACTTGCTGATCTCACATAGTGTTCAAAGGAGAACCTTATCAATTGGGCTGTAATTCATATATGCCACTTCTCACAGTAAGAGCTTCATTGACCAGATCATCAACCATGAAACCTGCTTGGAAACTGGGTTGTGGGGACATTGATCCTTGGAACCTAAAGGTAACTGCCTTGAAGTTTTTGAGGGTAACATGGTCTCAGCATGTGAGACCATGTTACCCCATCATATTAAATAATGTTGTAAATAATGAATTAAAAAAAAAGTCAACTTGTGGATGTCAACCAACAAACTCACAATAAACATAGAAAAGACCTACTACATCTTATTTGGAAGCAAATCAACATATGCAATTCAGCTTCAGATAGACTGATATGTTAACATTAGCAATAAAAATGATGGAAAGTTCCTTGGCCTATACTTAGACAAGAGACTCAACTTCAGCACCCTCATTCAACTCATAACTAAAAAAGGTTTCTAAAACAGTTGGTATACTCTCTAAGATCAGATATTATGTACCTTACTCTGCTCTCCTCTCACTCTACTATGCACTTATCTATCCCTATCTTACCTATGGTATCTGTGCTTGGGGTTCAACCTCTGCAAACTACCTCAAGCTCATCACCACCCAGCAAAAATCTGCTATCAGGGCAATAACAAACTCTGCTTTCAGACAACGCACAGCTCCCGTTTAAATCCCTAAACATGCTAAATATAAATTCACTCCATACATTCTCGTGTCAATTACATTTATAAAACCCTATTCTTAAGTGCAAACCCTGTTCTGAAACTCTTCCTGCACAGATGTAATAGAACCCATAATCACCACACCAGACATAAACCTCTCTTTGATATCCTCAGTCAAACTTAATCTGTGTAAACACTACGCAAATAAAGGGACCTAGTCCATCGAACTCACTCCCTAATGAACTGAAAAGCTGTCCAACTTTTGCCTAATTTCAAATTTTTTACCTAATTTCATCTTCATAGTTTCCTATCTTGTGCTTTATTCAAAACTCAATATTTGCCTCATTTTTATTTCTAAATTTCCTACATTTGCCTTCCTATATTTGACTAATTTATTCTATATTTGCCTCATTTAAAAACAAAACCAAAAAGTGTCTAATTTCATCTTCATAGTTTCTTACCTTGTGGTTTAAAATTGCACTGTATCTAGTGCTACCAAATCTCCCAATCTTTATGTACCTAATCCAAACAACTTTACCATTATGATCATTGCTGTCTTCTTATATGAGCTATCAAAATGCTGTATTGTGCCTATTAATCTTTGTTAAACTACCAATCAAGCTGTCAATGCAATCAATCAGAGCTACTGATGTGCTTTAATATACCTACTAATCACTCTCATCTCATTTTTTTCTTGCAATGTACCTGTTATAATTTTATAAATTTTGCTAGAATTTACCTACTTAAAATTATGTTAGATAAAGGACCTGCCCGAAACACTGCGCGTACTAGTGGCTTTACAAGAATGTAAACACCATGCTATGTATCCTCACAAACCCAATGTACCTTCTTGTATATATATAAATAAATAAATAAATAAATTACTTATTGTTACACACAGCCAAATTGTCACAGGAAGAGGTCTTGGACCCCTACTTCCCTCTCTCTTTTTTAACAGGTCATAATAGTCCGTACAGTCATAGTTATAGGTTTAAGTATTCAATGAGAGAAGTTTTTGAAGTTTTTACCCTTCTTACCTAACATCATTTGTGCAGTGGGGCATTTGGTGATAGTAAATGCTCCCACCAGCCACCTTCTCTCATATTTCATGTTCATCAGTTTATTTACTTAATAACTACTGGTATAATATCTTGCAAATATAAAACTAATTCTAATATCATAAAAAGACATATTTACTACAAGTTTCAAGCACAGAATGCATATATAACCAACATGAAAGACCCCTCTTCATGAAATTCGCCAACTAAAATCTTTTATTTATATTAAAATCAATCCTCCGTGTTGTGTAATAGAGAAAAATTGAGTTATATCCAGTTTACATAAAGCTACGAGTGGTTGACAGCAATCTTAGCTGACGGAGCATACTTATAAAGGTTTTCCTTCTTAGTGTGGCTACCCGAATACCGACCTAGCCGCTTCGAAGGCGCCAAGAAGAAAAACATTCGTAAGTCGCTTCGTGAATCTGGCACCTTGGACAGTGTTACGAAGAGTAAAGTGCTTCCATTATCAACACACAATCATCGTCTACAAATAAGGAAAGTGTCCAATTCTGAAACCCATTATAGCTGTCATTCCTAACCAGAAATGTTAGGTAGCTAGGGTAAGCTGGTTAGGACACGAGACTAAACACAAAACAAGGTAAATATTCCTTGAACCTCATCTAATAAATCATTATTGTATTTCCTCTGATATAGCTGTCTTATTTATGATTACTGCTATTACTGTGCCCTTTGACTGGTGTAATTGAAGAGGAAACAGAATTAACACTAGTTACCTAGTACACCAGTACATGGTGTTGACGCCAGCCTCAACCATGAGCATTATTTGGTGTAATCATCCTTGTTCACAGCTGGTGGGTCAGGCTCACTATATAGACTACAGATAAGCTGTAGTTTTGTTAAATTTAATTACTAACAGCTGTAGTTTTGTTAATTTTAATTACTAACATGTGTAGTCTAATACTGTAGTGAATGTCTACTAACCAATAATTTATATTGATGGCTATATAAACCATAAACCCCCCATAATGTGTAAGGAAGTGATTTGTGGGAAATTGTTAAATCATACAGTCCACTTTAAACATCATAGTTTGCTATCGAAAATAATAAATTAACGTAAAGTATAAGTTACTATATACATTAATATAAATTAATAAATGTATAAATCTCACAGGTCAATTCCCCACTGGTGTGTTCAAAGGGAGTAAAGTACCGGACAGTATTCCAGACAAGATATTACAAGTGTTTTGAAAAGTTGGAGCAATGTGTTGGCATCCATTGATTAGAATGTTCTCAAACTACCTTGTCAATTTCTTTGCTGATGTAAAACAATACAGCAAAAGTGGTCTAATGAAAATTAAGTTGGTAATTATGAAGCAAAGATGCCAACATGAAAGCATTAAGTTGAGCAATGTGAGGTATTACATTCATGTAATGGGTATGATAAGAGATAAATGTAAAAAGTAATTATACTTCGTAAGTAATCATAAAAATGTAATCACTCTTCGGTCAAATATAATTACCAACAGACCCTTGACAATTTTCCAGAATGACCACGACAACTTCCTTTAAAAGCAACTGCAGCCTAGCTAATTCGGCCACATGCTGAGAGACCAGATTACAAGCCATGTTACCCTCAAAAACTTCAAGGCAGGTTATCTTAAGGTTCCAAGGATCAATGTCCCCATGGCCCAGTTTCCAACCAGGTCTCATGGTTGATGACCTGGTCAACCAAGCTCTCACTGTGAGCAGTGGCATATATGAATTACAGCCCAAGTGATAAGGTTGTCTTTTGAACACCATGTGAGATCAGCTAGCTTAAATTTCTTGGATCCTTAATGCTAATAGTTATCTCTTATCCCATTGCACCTCTACCTTTCAATGGGGCTATTTTGAACTTCCTGCCATGCCTCCTGGACCCATTCCCTCTAATATTTTCAGTCTAAATTATTAGTATATCATTGAATGGGTCTAGGCAGTAACAGATTTTTGCACATTTTTCCAGGTCAAGAACTTCTCCAGCTTTGAATGAGGGGCAGTGTGCAAGAATATTCCACCCTAAATATATATATAGTGTTTTTAGAAGAAAAACCAAGACTTCCATCATTTCCCCCCCCATTTAAATCAATTAAATTATAGGCATGAATAGGTAATAGGGATATAACTTTTATAATGAACATACAAATATTTAACAAAAATATTTATTAACAATATCTTGAAAACTTTACAAACACTAAATCAAGTTTTACATTATTTACAAGTTCATACATTATTCTCCTGCTGACTAATAGTGCCATTAATGCTCCACACAACTGGGACAAGTTGAACACATGACAATGCTCCACACAACTGGGACAAGTTGAACACATGACAATTAATTACCAATTAAAACCAATTAGTGTAGTAAGGGCAGTTTAGCTTAGGTTCAAGTCTTGGTGGGTCTCAACCCGACCTCGTGTTCAGGCATTTGCCCATCTTTTCTCGTTCTATCCCTAGCAAGTATAAGGCGCTAATGGGTTTTTAACTGCCCTTACTACACTTCTTTAATTGGTTTAGCTACATTGCTTGTATGTTTAATTTTTAAATTTAGCCGATACCAGCTTGTCCCTCAGGGATTTATTTCTTCTCCTCCATGCTTCCTACCATAATTCCAAAAATGTCATCTATGTACCGAAAATATAGGTTCGGTCCTTTCCCTAAATTCTTCCTTTTGGATTCAAAAACCTCGTGTACAAATATTTCAGCTATTGCTACACTACTGGACGCTCCTATCGCCGTACCTTTTATCTGTCTATAGGTTTTATCTCCAAATGTTAGGATTGTATCCCGCATTACATGGAGAATGGCTTCCGTTAGGAGTTCTTTGGAAGGTGGCCTGAAGATTCCTGCTTTCCTAAGTTCCCTGCCCACTTTGTATGCATTCCTATCAAAAAATTCCGCAACCACTGTGGCTGCCTCTCTTTGAGGTATGCTCAGGTATAGGGAAACTATATCCAGGGAAAACAGGATTGCTCCATTTGGTACCGGGCCCCGTTCCTCATTTGTTTTGTCCAGTCTCCTGAGGTCTGTTGTGTCTTTCAATCTCTTTCAGAAGGGGGAGTAAGGGGTTTAGTAAGGCTGTGCATATTTTATCGATTGGTTTCGTGGGTGCCCTGCAACCACTTAATACTGGGCGACCTGGCCAGGTACCGGTCCCTTTATCTACCTCTATGTATTTTAGGCAGTAGGTAAAGATTTGGTATTTCTGACTTAAAGAGGAAGGTGTCTAGTAGAAACTCTCATGAGGCTTTTCCCTCCTCCGTTATTGAAGAAAGACAGAATAAGGGTTCTGCTTCTTTTTTGGGCATTTGTTAATGCCGTCTGGCCATTAAGGATGGGTTTGTAGGTCGAGGTGTCATTCAGATGTCTCCCCATCTCTTTATGGTAATTCTTCTTTTCCCACAGGACTACTGAGCCCCCCTTTATCCACCTGTTTTATGACTACATCTCTTCTATCACACACAACTGGGACAAGTTGAACACATGGCATTAATGTTCCACACAACTGGGACAAGTTAATTATGTGACATTAATGTTCCACACAACTGGGACAAGTTAATTATGTGACATTAATGCTCCACACAACTGGGACAAGTTAATTATGTGACATTAATGCTCCACACAACTGGGACAAGTTAATTATGTGACATTAATGCTCCACACAACTGGGACAAGTTAATTATGTGACATTAATGCTCCACACAACTGGGACAAGTTAATTATGTGACATTAATGCTCCACACAACTGGGACAAGTTAATTATGTGACATTAATGCTCCACACAACTGGGACAAGTTAATTATGTGACATTAATGCTCCACACAACTGGGACAAGTTAATTATGTGACATTAATGCTCCACACAACTGGGACAAGTTAATTATGTGACATTAATGCTCCACACAACTGGGACAAGTTAATTATGTGACATTAATGCTCCACACAACTGGGACAAGTTAATTATGTGACATTAATGCTCCACACAACTGGGACAAGTTAATTATGTGACATTAATGCTCCACACAACTGGGACAAGTTAATTATGTGACATTAATGCTCCACACAACTGGGACAAGTTAATTATGTGACATTAATGCTCCACACAACTGGGACAAGTTAATTATGTGACATTAATGCTCCACACAACTGGGACAAGTTAATTATGTGACATTAATGCTCCACACAACTGGGACAAGTTAATTATGTGACATTAATGCTCCACACAACTGGGACAAGTTAATTATGTGACATTAATGCTCCACACAACTGGGACAAGTTGAACACATGGCATTAATGTTACTCACAATTGGGACAAGTTGGAACAACAAATACTCATTTATGGCATATTGTGCAAATGCTCCACATTTTCTTATCTTCATCTCTTTGCCTTAACTTTATAATTTTAAGGTATATTCTCTTGCGATGCCTGTTCATCTTGCCCTTTAGCTCTTCCCTTCGCCCTACACTGCTTCTCTCCCTACAACTCTTACCCATTGCCTTATGCCTCTTCTTCTAGTACTACACTTCATCATTTTACACATTCCCAGCATGAATGTTATGCTTAAGAATAGATTAGTCATGTAAATTCTTCACCCTGGATCACGTCCCTCAAATATACTAAGTGTACTTCTTTGGCAAAAACTATATGCAATTGGTTTGAGAGAATTTCTTGACCAACTTAGGTGATCTTTAGAAATATCCCCTATTACATAATGGAATATTGGGCATACTGTATACACTATATAAAATGTTGGTAGAGTACTACAAATTGTATATTGTATGCCAGCCTGCCTCAGAGAAATCTATACAGTATACAGTATTTCAAAACTGTACTTAATGATTATCTAAAAGTGTAACATCTTTACAGAATCATCCGATACATTTTAAGTTACTGCACTCTCTTCCAAAATGCCAAGTTGTCTTGGATCTGGCATTCTGCGAAAAACAGCCAAGAACTTGTCTCCACTATTGCGGGACACCTTCTGACCCTCTTCGGTGCTCTCATATAGGTACTGTACCACTGGATCGTCAGCCTTCATATGAAAAAGTAGCGCAAGTTAAACATTAAATAACATGTACAAGACACAAAAAATCTGAACAATTAAATAATTGTATAATATTCACACAATTTAACACTTAGTTCTATGCCAATAAAATATATACATGTATGTATCTGCAGGCTGACTTATGAAAATTCCCTTCATAAAGAATACATGTGGCATAAAAACTGCCAAAAATTAGGTTTCAGAAATTGAGAGCTTGGGCATGAAATGAGATAAAGTCACATATAGCATGTGACAGTTCACCCAAAAGTAACAGCATTCTAACATTTAGGCCAAAAACAGAGGAGTGCACGGTCAAACAAATCCAGGTATGGGAGAGGTTCTCCCCTATGTGACCACTGTACCTTGAGACGGAATACAATTGTGAGAATTGTGGAATTCACACTGCCTTGAGTGTGAAAATGGTTGTGCATGAGAATGTTGCATGTTGTGCAATGGAGTGTAGTTGAACCTCGAATAACTAATTTAATCCGTTCCGGTGCCGTGATCATCATGTGAAATGGATGTCATAAAACGAATGTCCCCATTAACAATAATGGAAATCAAATTAATCCGTTCTACCACCAAAAAACATCAATATGATATTCGATGTTTTAAATAATGGAGCAGCCTACCTTACATACACTGAACAAACCTTTATGACATTTTTCTTTCTTCAAATTTGTTCAATATTTTTTTTCATTTGTCTTATAGCTAAAGGTTCGTTCAGTGTTCGGGAGGTAGGCTGCTCCACGATTCTTAAATAAAAAAACAAAAAATGGTTTAAACAATTTGAAAAATGGACAAATGCCATAAAGGTTCGTTCAGAGTTTGTCGGGTAGGCTGCTCCATTATAGCAATCTTTCTTTGTTTCATGTGTTCCATTTGTTTTGTATTTTTCATTTACGTCTCAATAATTGAGCAGCCTACCCTATGGAGCATCCAACCCGTGGGAAAACCCACAGGTTTTCCAGGGTCTGTAGGGGAAATAAGCTCTGCAGGAAGTCCAGGCACTGGGACCAGCTGGCAATGCAGGCAAACCAACCACGAGCAGCCACTGTAAAGCCACAGGGGCAACAAAGGAGTGCCACCACCACTACATCCAAGGCATAGCCTAATAAGGAGCCAGGCAGAACTATGTGAAACCTGGGAAAAAACGGCAAACAAAAAGAGAAAATGCAAGAAAATCCTCCATAACTCCACAACAGCCAAATAAGCAATCAGAGAGAAATGTCAGATGTCGCATGAAGCAGGCTGTGCCAGCTGCAGTGTGCCCCTCCAGCAAACACTCCCCATACCTGTGGCAAAGCACAAACCTCAAGACCCAGAACGCACCCATAGGGCAAGGTAAACCACAAGGGATGAAGTCCTTTAATGGGGAGCAATTCCCGAATGCCAAAGGGCAGGTAATATGATATCAAAGGGCAGGTAATATGATATTCGATGAATATCATATTACCTGACCACACAAGAGCACCTAGGGAAGGTGTCCCTAGATGCATGCAGCTCTGGTACCCAGAACACACCACTAGTGCAGGAACAGCTGAACAAGGCAAAATACCAGAACAAGAAACTGTGTCCTAAGGTGATGTCCAATGCCAGCACTTCAGTCAAGAACTGGAGGATGGGTAGCCCGTGTGAAAAATTCCCACCAAAGTTATAGGTGAAACATGTCTGAGTAACAGTTACTCAGGAGAAAGAAAAGGGAAGGAAAGAGTGTATACCAAAGCCTAATGAAACAATACCTATGGATTACTCTAAAAATGATAATTAATACTCACCAAATTATCCTCATCCACACGATTAAATAAAGGATGTTCTGTAAAATGGTGAACCATCCACTCATGAAGGTCCTTCACATCCGTCACAGTGTACACAAGGCCCTAAAACGGTAATCAGGTTGAATTAAAGCAAATTTTCCAACTTTTTCATATAAATGCCATTATATCATTATATTATAATCTTTAAATATGTTAGATATCAAGTAACTGCACATCCTCAAGTGTACTCTATATATTTAAAACTAAACTGTAATGCCAATCCCGACCTTAAACACTTCCTTGAAGATTGTAACCCATGGGCATCACACCAGAAACAAACACCTACTGTATTTCATATTCCAAGAGTGCGAGTTAACCAAAATAGAAATGCTATGCAAATCAAGGGTCCCAAAATGTGAAACGACTTTCCCAATCACATCAAAGACTGCCCATCTCTTAACCAGTTTAACCCTTCAATTGCGCATCGCATCATATGATGCTTTGACCGACTTGCAGTAAATTGCGCATCGCATCATGTGATGCTTTGGAGTACTACGCAAGATTTAAACGGCCCGCGGATACACGGGGTTCACCACCCCTTCATCAGGGCTCTTGTAAACAGACGCCATTTTTTTAAAAAATCGTGGGCCAAACTCCCGGGTGTTATTGGCCTCAGTATTGAGTGAGCAACCAAGCCTGACACACGCAGCATGAGCTAACAGCACTGCTGTTCAGCTTGTGACCACAGCATCGCCTAAAAATGCCATAATATACTTGTTCATGCTATTATGTAGCGATGATATTATTACAGAAGACCCCTGACTGATAAAACTGACCAGGGCTCTGATAATAGCAGGATTGTGGTGATATTTGGCGCTGTGCGCCATGGATGGAGGAGTGATGCTGTGGGAGGGAGGATGGTGGCATTGTCTTTTGAGTGTGTGTGGCCACCTTTTATTGACTGCACTCACCATACCAGCTTAGTGGTTCGCTATGGTGAACACAAATGTAGATACTTATATATAACGTGTGTATAGTGTGAGATAACAGCGAGAGTAGGAGGTTGGGAGCCGCCATTTTGGTGAGGGAGGAGCGTCGTCTGCAGGACTTATCATGTTTATCTTGAGGTTATCTTGAGATGATTTCGGGGCTTTTTTTTTAGTGTCCCCGCGGCCCGGTCCTCGACCAGGCCTCCACCCCCAGGAAGCAGCCCGTGACAGCTGACTAACTCCCAGGTACCTATTTACTGCTAGGTAACAGGGGCGTTCAGGGTGAAAGAAACTTTGCCCATTTGTTTCTGCCTCGTGCGGGAATCGAACCCGCGCCACAGAATTATGAGTCCTGCGCGCTATCCACCAGGCTACAAGGCCCCTTTACTGATGACCACGATGGTCTTTGGGCACCATACCAGTTTACTTGTACAAGTATGGTGAATAAAACAGGTAGATATTTATATATAATGTGTGTATATAGCGTAATAACACCACAAACAGTATTGTTGTTGGAGAAATATTAGTGTGTCTGGCCTTGAGGGCGGTCGCCACCAGCTGACTGTGTGAGTAGCTACGTCTATGCCTTTACTCACCATACAAGCTTAGATGTACAGTTATGGTGAACAAAACATGTAAATACTTATATATAACGTCTGTATATAAAAGCAAAAACAGTATGGTGGCATGTCAGGTGAGGGAGGGAGGGAGGGACAGCCAGTCACTGCCTGCCACTGCCACTCAGCATACCAACTTAGTGGTTCGTCATGGTGAACAAAACATGCAGATACTTATATATAACCTGTGTATATAGTGTAATAACCGACAAAGTATTTGTTCACTGAACATAATTGAATCAGTGAACACAAATTAACAGGTTAGGAAGATTTTTTTTTTTTTTTTTTTGGTATGCGCCTGTGGGTGTCAAATGGTATATAGCTATGTGCCATTTAAGGGTTAAGAGAAAAACTAAGTACTACCTAATCAACTCCATGTAACCTACCTTACCTCCTAAATGTCAACCTGTCAACCTATATCTTGCTATTATCAAACATCATTGATTTATGACTAACTCGTAAAACCCCTGATACCTGCCATGTATAAACTTTAGAAAGAACTTTAAAACTTCAAACTTTAAAAGAAAACTTTAGTGCATCTGTTTGTTTATTCAAAATTAACATTAGCTCCTCTGTTGCAATTGCTGCTGTTAATTCAACATTTACTTATTGTAATTCTTTATTCTACTTCAGTTCAATTCATACTTTTGATCTCAAATTAGTCATTCTTAGTTTTTAGGCGTTTTACTCCTATCTTGCCCGAAACGCTATGCATATTAGTGGCTTAGTATATACTAGCTAGTATATAATAAGTATATGTATATACTTTAGACATAGTATGTACTAGCTCTATCTACAAATCCAACATTCTGCTTGTAACCCATTTTGTATGCACAGTGGTACCTTCGTTTTCAAATTTAATCCGTTCCCATAGACGATTCAAAAACCGAAAGTTAGAAAACCGAAACAAATTTTCCCATAAGAAATAATGTAAATTGAATTAATCCATTCCACACCCCCAAAAACATTTACTTAAAAATACATTTCATATATATTACTACTAATATTTTGTACTACAGTATGTACAAGTATATCTTACCTTTATTGACAACTCTCGTTGTCATATGGAAAACAGTGAGGAAGGAGACAGGAGGAGAGGTGTTAAAGTTCAGAAAGGGAGTCCCCTTCCATTATAACAGCAGTGATGACATTACTGGAGTACTCTCTCCCCTATGTTTTGCAGGCATACTACTAGGACCTGGTTGTGGCTCATTGCTTGCCTGTCTTAAGAATTTGTCTACAGACACTTGTTTTTTTCCCTACATTTTAACACTTACCTGTAATGAGACATCACATTGTCTCACTATGAATGATTGTTTTTTCTCTATCATCATCCTTACAACTATTTTCTTAGGTTGAACTTTACCACTGACTATCTTGGAACCCATGGCATGACATAATAACTTTTCTAATGTTCAGAATCCAACAAACGTTTCCTTTGTTCTGTACGAATCCTTTGCATTGCAGAGTTTGACAGTTTTGAAGCTTAGGTCTTTGTTATCCCTCCAGTTATCTGTAATGTTTCACTGACTTTCTGGAAGCTTTTCCTGCGTGGTGACAATTTGTCACTTGCCTCTACGAGGGAAGGCCAAGTTTTGGCTCTGGTCCCCAGTAGGCCAAACGTCTCATGTGACCCATCTGCATGAAGCAACCTTACCGAGATAGTTTCAGGAAGCCACTGGGCCTCCCCCAGAAAACACAAGTGAACAAATGATACAATTATAAACAGTTCAAATATCCATAAACTTACCCCTTCACGCAGAACATAACCATATTCTGCCAAGAGAGATGAATTGATAATTCTCCATTTGTGCTTGGCTCTTTTGAAGTGTGGATCAGGAAACAGGAAGAACATTTTACTCAACTGGAAAAGGCAAAATATTTTTCTTTTAGAGCATTCAATGCAATTAAGTTCAAAACAATAGTTATGAATGAATGCATGAATTCACGAACATTAATAATTCAAACAAGACAGTGAATTATTGTGGGGCAGTCACCCATGCTCCCTAGCAATGGTAGAAAGTTAGGAAACTTTCTTGGTGGATACAGGAAGAGGAGAGAGTGGAGTTGGGAGTGCAACACATGCAAGGTGGTGATGGTGGAGGACTCTGGATGATAGTGAGGGAGGTGAGTGTGTAGTTGGGAGTGCAACACATGCAAGGTGGTGATGGTGGAGGACTCTGGATGATAGTGAGGGAGGTGAGTGTGGAGTTGGGAGTGCAGCACATGCAAGGTGGTGATGGTGGAGGACTCTGGATGATAGTGAGGGAGGTGAGTGTGTAGTTGGGAGTGCAACACATGCAAGGTGGTGATGGTGGAGGAGGACTCTGGATGATAGTGAGGGAGGTGAGTGTGTGTAGTTCATAGTGCAGAACATGGGAAGCACAAAAGCACTTTGGCAGGAAATGGAGATGAAAGTCCTGGCTGAGAAGACTAGTAAAATATTGATGGAAAGGTTAACTGTCTTAGTATCAGTGAATACGTTTGAAGTTAGACAAATACAAATTTGCACATTACAAGAGTGAAATTTAAAAAAATTTCAAATTGTGTCAAGTGTTATGAAACCTCCATTTCTGGGAGGATCTTGGTAGCTTCCCTAGCTTTAGGCACAGGCACTACAGGGGCCATAACCACACACAAGAGCCATTTCACACTGACTTGGTCCCTACAAAGGATTAATAAAGGATTAATTAAGCGAGAACTAAAGGTTAATCCAATACAGAGGTGAATTGCCCTTAAAATTAAAAACTTACAGTATAAAACCTCCAAAATGTCCTTTGAGAATGTTTTATAATTAGCTAACTACCATACAATGCTCTGAAAACAATTACAACACCTCTAAGGTTCACCCAGAAAGGAGCATTACATTATATTACATTCTAACACTTTTGCCTGGGTAAGCCACCTTAGTTACTACCCAAACTTTTTCGTTATGTTACTTCACCGAACAATATATTTTGTACAACAATAAGTTATCCAAACTAGAAACAAGATACCATCATAGAAAATAGGTAAAACAAAATTGTCACAGGGAGGCACACCACAGACTTAGCCATTAACACTTTCGCGCTCTCGGCGCTCAAAAAAAAAACAATACCCCAGATGCTTTTGGCACTTCGCGCGCCTACGCGGTAAGACCGAAAAAGTGTACACTCTTTTTACTGTCCTGACAATAATTGAAGGCGCACGTATTTAAATTTGGTATCACTGTGTTCGCAATGAAATTGTCTATAAGAGCATACCTATAAAATGCCGCCCAAGCATAAGGACTATCAACACCAAATAAAAAACTATTCAGATCACTCGCCAAGAGCGCCAAACAGCAACAAAATGTTTCCACTCTCTTAATGGTTGCGAAGCCTACAGGTGTCCTACATCGCTAATTGTGGTATCATTGGAATCGCAATAAAATTCTCTACACGGACATATGCATATAAATATAGATTTAATGTCGTAGCCCACCCAAAACAATGTGGGAAGTGGCCGAAGTGTTACCCGCGGCAGCATATCGGCGAAACTCGCTTTGAAAAGTGTATATTCAATTCACTGTCCTGACATTATTTGTCGATGTATGTATTTCATTTTTGTACCAATGTGCTCGCAATAGAATGTTCTATAAGAACATAAGTATTAAAGGTCACATAAGGATGCGTTCGACCGGCAACATACATAAAAACTACGTCGATTACACTCGTCGTGTCAATAATACAATTGTTTTACCACGATGATTCACTGCCACACCGTTTTCTTTTATAAGCTGTTCGGCTATTAGAGAAAACGTAAATTTCATGGCAAACATTTGTATACTATTCCCAAGTTGATCGGATAATAAATGGATTTTATACAAATATTTTTTCGATGGACTACAGGCGTCGTCTGTTATGCGGTGACGACTCATGGATAATCCTAAGCGCGAAAGTGTTAAGTGGAAAGAGGGTGAAGTACACGAGAAAAGAAAAGTCTCCCCCAAATAAGTGTCTGAGACAAGGGATGATTGAACGTCTTACAGGGACGTTAGAAAGAACTTTCAGTCTCAGTAGTTAACAGATGTAATGCATTAGGCAGTGGTGTGGAGGAGGCTGACTATAAACAGTTTCAAATGTAGATATGATGGAGCCCAATAAGCTCAAGAATCTGTACACCAAATATTGGAGTTGAAGGATATAATTCAGCTCAGTCCCAGATAGTTTTAACAGAAGAAACTTGCCTCTCTGAAGAATAATATTCTTCTTGCCTCTACAAAGAAAATATTTTAAATGAGTTTGTATTCCCAAGGGGCTACTCAGTTTGGAAACGTGACAGTACAACTAGGAAAGGGGAAGGAGTGGCTGTGCTAGTGAAAGAACACCTGAAGGAAAGAGTTAATAATTAAAAACCCTCGAGATATTGACTTAATGGCATTGCAGGTCTGGAATGAAGATAAGCTGATCATTTTAAATGCCTACAACCCACCAGCACGCAACACATGGACAAAGGAAGAACTGGATGAAAAATGAGAGGGCCTGATAATGGTCACGAGAGATAAAGAGCTGACAAAGATAAATCCCGATTGTTAGTACTGGGGGACTTTAGTGTACTTTAGTTCAACCAACAGAGAAAGTGAGAGAAAGTTACCCGGGAGCGCACAAGAGTGATAAAATGTTTACACTCTTCAGTTTTGTCAACTCAATTCTCATCCTAGGTCTTTCATTTTGGTATCAATTTGTTCACAATAGAATTCCCAACAGGCCTACATGCATATAATATAAAAAACAGCAGCGATCTCCACCCGCCAACATGATGAAAACAGGCCGTGGTTACAAGAAAGAGCGCTGCGCCACCCCAAGGCGCTTCTCACTATGAAAAGTGAATATTCTTTTCAACTTTGTCATCTCAATTCTCGTCTTAAGTCTTTCATTTTGTTATCACTGTGTTCGCAATAGAATGCCTACGCAAATATATGCAAATATAAAGTCCAAAAGCCCGGCGTACCATCCACAACAAGCAGGGAAAGTGACAGAGCGTTACCCCCGTGAGAGCTAATAAAGAGCAATAAAATGGGTATTTTGTTTTCAACTTTGTTACCTCAATTCTGGTCCTAGGACTTTCATTTTGGTATCAATGTATTTGCAATGAAATTCACTACAAGAGTATATGCATATAATGTCCAAAACCGCAGCAAGAAATTTCCGAAAACGGCGCTACTGTTGCCGCATGGAGGACTCAATGCCAAGTCCTCACCGGATTTGTTCCCGTTTTACGGAGGACTCAATGCCGAGTCGTCGCCGGGCGAAAGTGTTAATTTACACACTTTAAATGTAAATGTATATAAATGTAAAATTTATACTTAAACTAGCACCTCACCTGTCCTTTCTCAAAGAAATTTGGCAAGTACTTCATTGCATTAGTACGGATACAGGCTACGTTTTGATATCCTCCAGGCACATCCTTCTTCTCATCTCTCAAGCCATGAATGCGGTCAACAACAAAGTCCGACACCTTCACGCGTATTTCCATTCCTAACATAAGCGTGTCGGGAAAAATCTGGGCAAGGGCAACTGAAAAAAATAAATAGACTTATAAGGCAACAAGCATAACACACACACTGTATTTGCCAGTATTTGTATTTACAAGTGTATAAAAAACCCAGCATTAAATGTAATGGAATGCCATTTTCTAGGCGAGACCCGGAGGCTCCCTGAAGCTATCGAGCTATGTGTGGTATATTAGACAGGGGCATTAGTCTAAGTAGTTCAACTTACTGGGGACCACGAGTCAGAACCTGGACCCCTGGTTGCAGCGGGCAATGGCCCTGGAAAACCCTTGTGGTTCGTGGCTTTCCTTAATTGCCATCAACCTGGAATAGGAACCCAAAAAGGTAGGCATAAAAACCCCACATGGTCAGAAATTACAACTAAAAAACAAAGATAGGTACGACTCCCCTCCAATCCCAAGCAAACAAACAAGCAAACGTTACACTCCACTGCAACGCCGCTCGCTTGTGCAGCCCTCCCCTCCCCAAGAGTGGGAGGGAGCGAGCCCCGGACTTCCCCGAGCTTGCTACCCAGCACTCCAGTTCGGAACTAAGCTTCAAACAACGCGAAAAATCGCCGCCCAGAGGGAGGAAGGGAGGGTTGCCAAGGAGTCTCCGGGGCTCACCCAGAAAATGACAAAAGGAGAAAGAAAGGAGGAGAGAAAAGAGCACCGGTCCAGAGACCAGGACGGCTCAGGCTGTGCATGAGCAGGCCGGAGGTGAAAGAACGCACGAGACAGCTTGCGAAACGAGGCAGAAGTAACATCAATACTGAACGCAAGCTGGAGCGGCTCCACCAACGCTGCATGATACAAGGCGACAGTATTTGGCATAAGATGACGGTCGTGGAATGACCACGAAAGGAAGGACAAGACATCCTCCCCATTAATAGGACATATCGTGAAAAGGCTGACGCACCTTACGAGCACCTAAACGGCACAAAGGGCGATCCGCACGCCGAACAGCAACAGACGGCACTAAAGGCTGCGTCGGCACCAAATCTGACACCACTGGCCTACCACAACCCTGCCAGGAAGGCCCCCCCTCCACGAGCCCCATGGAGGATTAACAAATAGAGATAGGGGGCAACCAACCAAAGGCAGACCCTCCCACCAACAGGCAGGGGAAAAAAAAAAAATAAACGCAAGAGGACAACATACCTAGGCAGAACAGAGCCAGCCACTATAATAGGTGATAACTAGCTGTGCAGCATCCCGCGCCCCTAACAGTGATAGGAGATACCTACGAGATCTTTATCTTGAGATAAGATCTATCTACGGAGAGATCCCAAGGCGATTTGTGGAAGATGGCCCCAAGCCCAAGCAGACAGCACGCGGGACTTGTGATCCTGTGGTCCTGGGTTCGATCCCAGGCGCCGGCGAGAAACAATGGGCAGAGTTTCTTTCACCCTATGCCCCTGTTACCTAGCATTAAAATAGGTACCTGGGTGTTAGTCAGCTGTCACGGGCTGCTTCCTGGGGGTGGAGGCCTGGCCGAGGACCGGGCCGCGGGGACACTAAAGCCCCGAAATCATCAAGATAACCTCAAGAAGAAGCCCCAAGGGCAGTACTTGCCAGGCACCTAGGGAAGGAAACCCCAGGCGCATGCAGCCCAACGTACCGTAGGGAGCTTGACAGCTGAGTGGACAGCACTAAGGATTCGTAGTTCTGAGGTTCTGGGTTCGATCCCTGGTGGAGGCGGAGACAAGTAGGCAAAATGTTTCTTTCACCCTGATGCCCGTTACCTAGCAGTAGATAGGTACATGGAAGAGACAGCCGCTTTCTGAGAGTGTGTAACAAAAAAGAGGTCTGGTCGAGGACCGGGCCGCGGGGACGCTAAGCCCCGAAATCATCTCATGACCACCAAGATATAGAATATTTCTCCTAGCTTACACACCACAAGGTACAGAAACTGAGACCAAAGCAGGAGCCAGAGGAACAAGACCTTGCCAGTAACACATCGGCCAAGAACTGGGGGTGTGGTTTACTGGGGCTGGGTTCTCCCTGTTTACCCTCCCGGGGAGGGGTGGGTGGGTTGTACAGACAGTGGTGCTGTAACGTGATGCCATCATACCAGTTTGCAAATTTTTCTTTGGGAAGTTCTGTCCACCAGTTTGGTTTTGGTACCAATATTTTCACCAGAATAGGAGTTTGTTTTGGGGCGCCTACCTTTTTAGGTGCCTGACCTGGCCAATGGCAAACAGAATACTTCCAACCACATGGGGGTTTCTATAGGCCATTACTCCTCGTGCCTGTCTGAGGGGGCCAGGTTCTAGCTCATGGTCCTCGGTAGGCACAGACTATGCACTTTGATGCCAGAAGGCTAATACATCCTAATCAGCCTGGATAACTCCGGGGAGTCGACAAGGATCCCCCCTGAAAACCAAAAAACAATTGAATTCTTCACAAAGAATTCAAGCGCAGTCGTCACTAGGTGGGATACACTGGTAAACAACTGCGTGTGCCTCGTCCTCCGCCCAGCACTACGCACTCGCTTGACCCATACACGTATCAACAGATGTCGTATTCCATGTAAAATGTTGTACACCAATTCAAATTTTACGATGAATTTGATGTCATAGACCAAAACATTTGTATCCTAGGGCAGTCGTACACCAAGGTGTACATTCATATCAGCTGAATAGCTCCGGGGAAGCTAAGGGGCACCACACAGAAAATATTTGAAAGTTTTCTTTTGCAAACAGAATGGTACATATATGGTTGGAACAAGTTAGGTGAGGTGGAGGCCAAACCCATCAGTAGTTTCAAAGCACTATTATAAGGAGCACTGGGAAGATGGGACACCATGAGCGTAGCTCTCATCCTGAAACTACACTTTGGTAATTACTTGGGTAATTCCCTAATACAGCCAGTCAAGGCCTAATGCTGTCAAACATAACACATTTTCTATTTTGACGCTTCATTTCAAGCAGTTTAAGTTTAGCTGACAACTTTTCCATCATTTTCACATCAAATGAAACAATTTTAAGAATTCTTCATTACAAGGCTGCAGTTAATGATAACTTAGTTTAAGCATCAGCTTGAATAAGAAATGAAAAATTTGGAAAAGATTGACAGTAATAGAGTAATTCTATTAATAATGCATTTAGTTTCAATGGCATGATATATAATAATTAATTAATAGTGGATTTATAGAGATCACGTAATCCTTTAGAATTCAATTGTCAACAACAAATTTTCCAATGCAATCTGGACAGACTTACCCAACAATCCTCCATAGCCACATCCAATGTCAGCAAATTCCACCTTTTTTGTACCATCTCCGGGGAAGTACTTGGGAAAGTATGGACTCCAGTCCATTGTAGATGAACATACTGGGCTGCAAAGTAAATTAAATAATGTATATGTTTAGCTGGCTACTTTTTAAAATACGTAAACTACAAGTGTAAAATATGAATACAAAAGCAGATCACTGAGAATAATGAAACCACTTTCTTGGCAGTGCCTTGGTAGCTTCAAGACTAATCATCCAACCAGGTATAAGAACCTCTTCAATTTCTGCATTGTGCTCTTCAAGGGACAGAGCTCATGGAAATTACAAGAACTATCAGGCTCGCAGAGCCTGATAGCTGTCGTCTCATTCTTAGCTAGAAAAGAAGGAGACGGTTGCAACCGAACAAACCTACCACCAGGATCGAAGAGCAGAAACCCCTGTGTTGGAGAAGAGCATGAAGCTCCTCGACCCAACTCCCAGAGGCCAATGCCAACAAGAAGAGACTTGTCAAAATAATCCCAAACCAAAGGGGCCACAACAAACCTAGGAGAAGAAAGGAGAGAGAGAACCCGGTTCAACAACCAGGACAGCTCAGGAGCAGGCTGGAGGTGGAACAACACACGAAACAGCTTGCAAAAAGGGGCTGAAGTTACATCCACCCCGAACGCAAGCAGGAGTGGCTCCACCAGTGCCCCACTATACGAGGCGACAGTATTCGGCACAAGATGATGGTCTTGAAACAACCAAGAGATAAAGGACAAGACAACCCAATCTGAAACCGAAGACAACCTACAAAGACACAAACAGTAACGAAAGGACCGCCAGGAGACTTCACACTGCTGCAGACACAAAACTCACAGGTGGGATACCATCAAAAAAGCCACCTGATCACTATACAAATGGTGATAAACCCACGTCAGAAAAACCACACGTGAAGATTGGAGAAGATCTAACTACCCATGTACCGGACTGGAACGATCTGCTGAAAGAGGCGGAACCGCGTTAAAGTCCCCGGATTCAGACACCAAGCAAGCACTGCCAGAAACCAAGGCTAGGTCAGCCACCTAGGTGCAAACAGGACTACTCTCTCCTGGTATGTCTCCAAATGAGCCAGAACCCGAAGCAACAGCTGAACCGGCAGGAAGAAATACAGAACCCCACCTTGACCAGTCCTGCCGAAAAGCATCTACCCCAACGGCCTCGCAGTCGGGGAAGGGCGCCACATATACCGAGAGAAGCCTCGACCACGCCGACGCGAAGAGGTCCACCTCCAGGCACCCATACATCTGGCAGATAACTAAATGGGTCAGCATCGACCGTCCATTCCGTGGACAGGGGAATGAACCGGGACAGGCTGCCAGCCAGGACACTGGACACCCCCTGGATGTGAACCGCCAGGAGACCCAAACCCTGAGAATTTGGCAGACGAGTCGCCCTGAAGCAACCAGCCCCCAGACAGCCAAGGACCACATCGAACCCTCGGTTTAGGCAATGAATCACCAGAGCTCACCCCGAATTGAGTTAGATCGTCGATCAACGGGCAAAACGAACCCTCCAAAACGACAGCCACACCGCCGCAAACTCCTGCGCTGTGCTGTGAGCCCGACGGAAGGCTAGAGCCCAATATCTCTGGCCGGCCTGGTGAGCGCTGGTCAAAGCCCAAGCCGAGAGACGAGGTGTCCATGAACACATCGTGTTGGGGGTTCGCCATGGCACTGAACCCTGAAAATACCGAAGAGTTAGCTGGAGATGCAGCAACCAACGCAAGGATCCCAGCGATTGAGAGAGCGGCAAAAGGGGCTGCCCCAAAGATATCAGAACAGCCTTCGAAGGAAAACAGGAAGAGCAAAGTTCAGGCTCCCACACAGCTGCTCGAGCAACCTTGGGGTGAACCCCCCCCCCCCAAAAAAACAGACCAACGGCAGGACTGCAGCCACAGCAAGGATGCAGAAGGAAGAAAGAGAGATGCCATCTGAGAATTCCACACAAGGCCCAGCCTAGTCCGAACCTGAAATGGAACCAACTGGGACTTTCACTAGGAACATGAACCCAGCTAGCTGGGAAAGCCATCCAAAAGGAAACCAGGCTAGATGAGAAGTCCAGAGTCTAATGGAGATCTGCACAGTCCCATGTCGGAACTAGAAACAGGCGAGAAACCTACCAGAGAATCAACGTCGAATTACCATACCCAAACAAACCCATTTCAGGATGGCCTGACAGATGGATGGGGAAAAGGCTTGCTTCCCCCCCCCCCAAGGGAGGCAGGACCACCCACTGCCATCGAAGGCTGCAAGACACGACCCAAAAAGCCCACCAGTCGTGAGACCAGTCGTAGGCAAAAAGTGCGAGCTCCCACCCATCACCAGGTCAATGGGGCGACCTACAAAAGGGCCGACACGAACGCAGAGATGCCGAGTGGGGACTTGAGCATTCTGCTGCACCAGATCATCATGAGGAAGTGCAGGGGGCGAAGAGACACTAACTCAGGGGAAAGGCGTCGAAGAAGGGAATCTGCTGGGTCGACTCAGAAGCCTCGGCAGGAAAGAAGGGCTCAACCACCTCTGCGCCCGCATTGGAAGGGGCACACCCTAAAGCCACCCAAGCCTCATTGAGCTAAACCCAATCCCGACTCTGAAACCCTCAGATGTTTGAGAGCCAAAAGCAGGGAGGAAGCAGCAGGGCAAACCACACCCACTTGGGAAGGAAGCCGAGGTGCAGATTGAACTAAGGCCATAGCGACCATCGCCCTCAAATCAGTCCCCAAAAACCAAAGGGGTCAACTCTAGGGCCTCCAACCTGGCCCGTTGCAATAAAGAGATTCAATCATGCAACGCTGCTACTGCCTGATCCCTGAGATCCTCAGATAAGGGATGAGTAAATTGGAGCACAAGTGGGAAACAAGTCCCGCAAGACTCTGGGTCTTGGGTGTCCCCGACCCAACAGGCAGCGTAAGAGGCAGTACGGGTAATCGTCTCCCTGAGGCAGGGGGATGAACCTTCAAATTCACACAAGGCAAATTGCGTAAGTATCCATTGTATGACTGGGCCTGCAGGAGTTTTCCAGGGCACGTAGAATGAATAAGCCCTACGAGAAGCCCAGGCACTGGGGCCAGCTAAGCAGGTAAACCCTGTCTGTAGCAGGCAAACCGACTGCAAGCAGCAATCATGAAATCTCTGCGGCAACAAAGGAGGGACACCACCTAAGCCTAATAAGGCATTATTAGGCTTAGGAGGACCTAATAAGGAGGTTGTTGCAGACCACCATCGCAACAGGAAAAAATGCCAGAATGAAAACAGGGGATGGGGTAGTGCTAGTGGGGCACTTGTTGGATGAAGTGTTGCTTGTTTTTATCTTGGGGGGGGGGGGGGGGGGGGGATTATTTTCCTATTTTGAGAACATAGCTCCCAATTTTCAACCTGTGGTCTGTTTTGATTTGCCTACAATTCTGGGTGCCTTCCCAGGTCAATGACAAGTATGACATACTTTATATTTAAAGTGCTCATGGGCCATTGCTTTCTGCGCCTCTCTAAGGGGTTAGGTTCTGGCTTTAGTTCCGGGTAGGCAACAAGAACTTTGCGACTGATGCCCCCAACTAACATAGCACGATATCAGTATGGATAAAGCTTCAGGGAGCCGACGGGACTCCCCACACAAATGAGAGCCATTTTTGGCATCATCCAGTGTTTGAACGTTTAGGACAGCCACAGAGGAGACACTAAGCTTTTAACAACAGCAAATGATTATCATGTATATATTGGAAGCAAAATGTGTGCTACATACAATTTTAAGAAACTTATATAAAGTATATAAATTAGAATGAATAAGTATATGATGTCTGAATACTTATATATCCATACATCATTATATTTTCAAAGTTATAATAATAAACGGTAGCTTTGACATCAATGCTACCTGTTAGCATGAAAAACTAAATAAAAATCCAAATAGCACAGCACCCCATGGACCAGTAACCAAATAGCACAGCACCCCATGGGCCAGTAACCAAATAGCACAGCACCCCATGGGCCAGTACCTAAATAGCACAGCACCCCATGGACCAGTAACCAAATAGCACAGCACCCCATGGGCCAGTAACCAAATAGCACAGCACCCCATGGGCCAGTACCTAAATAGCACAGCACCCCATGGACCAGTAACCAAATAGCACAGCACCCCATGGGCCAGTAACCAAATAGCACAGCACCCCATGGACCAGTAACCAAATAGCACAGCACCCCATGGACCAGTAACCAAATAGCACAGCACCCCATGGGCCAGTAACCAAATAGCACAGCACCCCATGGACCAGTAACCAAATAGCACAGCACCCCATGGGCCAGTATCCAAATAGCACAGCGGAGTATGGTCATTTCGGTTACGATACGATTCAACAAAGTTTCCCGTTTGTTAAAAGCATATATATATATATATTGTAATGCTAGGATGTGGGTTAGGTTGTAATGGGCTCGGTTCAGTTGGGTTGGATTAGGTCGAGTTGGGTTGGGTTAGGTTTTTTTTTTTTCTTTACATATATACAAGAGTTGTACAATTCTTGTACAGCCACTAGTACGCGTAGCGTTTCGGGCAAGTCCTTAATTCTATGGTCCCTGGAATACGATCCCCTGCCGCGAAGAATCGTTTTTTCATCCAAGTACACATTTTACTGTTGCGTTAAACAGAGGCTACAGTTAAGGAATTGCGCCCAGTAAATCCTCCCCGGCCAGGATACGAACCCATGACATAGCGCTCGCGGAACGCCAGGCGAGTGTCTTACCACTACACCACGGAGACTGGTAAAAATGTTGAGTTAGGTTAGGTCGGGGCTTGGTTAGGCCGAGTTAGGGTTAGGTTTCAAAATCCGTTGGTGAATCATCTCGTGCACATTGTAACTTGTATGGAGCACAGTATCTCACGGGCTTCAATCTTACATATTCATAACCTTTGTGTAAGAGTTATTAATTTATGATTCTCTAGACATTCTTGAGAAATTACTTGAGCAACAGAGCAACAAAACAGTAAGTATTAGTCATGTATAATCATATCATGCTGATGCATCTTGAGAAAAAGCTGGTCGTTCTTATCGTTCTAATTGTATACATCATTATATTATCTCAAGTTAAACTAGGGTTTTGTTGGGGGTTAGTTTGGGTGGTTGGGGGTTAGTTTGGGTGGTTGGGGGTTAGTTTAGCTTAGGCAGAAGCCAAGGCCAAGGCTGCTCCTTGGTCTTGGCTTCTATGTATACTACTGCCCACAACACTTTCTCAATGGCATTTAATAAGTTATAAATAATTATATATGCATCTTTACCCTATGAACTTAATATTAGGTATTTAATGGTTCTTACTCATCACGTGATCACGGGTTATTCATGCCCGTGCCATCTCTTGGGGGTGACTTAATCTTTATCAATCTTAGTAATCAAGTGACCAAACTTACTCATGTTCACTTACTAATCAAAGTTGTGGTCAGCAATAGGGTTGGAGTGAGCTCTCTGGCGATAATATTTCTTCTGTGGTAACTTAGGCATTGTTGTTGTGAAGTATTGGGAGAGGTTGTGGCTGGAGCTGTTGTGTGTGGCGGCGTGTTGTGGGTAGTGGGCCCTGGCCTCAGCCTTCACCTCACACACGCCTTATACTCCATATATCTCTAGTACCACTAATAATAACTACTCCTATTAATTCAATAATTACTAAAATTAATATAAAATAAATTTAATAAATTAAACTAATTAAATCTCAATTACTATTATTTATACTTTAATCTCAATTACTATTAAGTTTTAGTGTTTTTTTTTGCTTCCACACCTCATTTATTTATTTATTTATTTATTTATTTATTTAAACAAATATTTATTTATATACAAGAAGGTACATTGGGGATTAAGAGAGAACATAGAAATGATGATTTTACATTCTTGAAAAGCCACCACACGCTTAGCGGGTCGGGTAAACTTGCCCGAAACGCTATGCATATTAGGGGCTTAATAATAATAATGCTGAATAATAATAATAATAATAATAATAATAATAATAATATTATTATTATTATTATTATTCAGCATTTCAAGTTCAAGTTCAAGTATGTTTATTGAGACAAGAAAAAAAATACATCTCAAAGGGATAGAGTAGCTTAGGCTATTTCTACCCCCCTCTACTTCAAGTCCCTCAAGGGGCGCACAAATTCAGTGAGTACAGATACACAAATCACAATACAACATTTAATATTGCATATTAATATAGTAAGTGTTACAATCATTGGGGCAAAATTCTTGTAGTTCCTAAGTATTCTGTCTATCATATCATTATCACACATCCAAACAATTTGAAGTGGTACACTACTTATTTCCTTATTTCTATGGTTATCCATAATTTGACACTTTAATACATAATGGTCTTCCAAGTTCAAGTAGGTTTATTGAGACAAGTTAAAAAAAAAAAAAAAAAAAAAAAAAAAAAAAAAAAAAAAAAAAAAAAAAAAAAAAAAAAAAAAAAAAAAAAAAAAAAAAAAAAAAAAGGCTATTTCAAAGATTAGCTTAGGCTATTTCTACCCCTTCCCATACTTCAAGTCCCTCAAGGGGCGCACAAATTCAGTGAGTACAAATACAAGAATCCCATGTAACATATCAGGTTAATATAGTACTATCTAAGAGTATAATAGTGTACATCCACCGCACTAGATTTTAACCCATTAACGCTCCAAGATAATATTCTCACTCTACTTTCATCCATGATTTAATAAAACTACCTTTGCCCTGTCTGTCACATTCCATGAGATACGAGATTTTCTCAGACAGACTCTCCCAACACTGTAACATTTCTGCTTTCTCCTCATTTGCACAACAGCTACTAGCATCAAAGGTGATCTTATTCATATCTAATTTCTTTCTTATTTCTCTATACCGTTTTACTTTAACCTTTGTTTCGACATTTGTCACTACAGAAGGTTGAACGCTAACACTACTAGAAAGTTCATTTTCCTGACTATCCTCTATCATCAATACGTCATGTTCTTCCTTACTTTCTTCAACGCACATTTCACGTCCTGTTTCACTTTCCACTTCACGTCCTATTTCACTTTCCATTTCACGTCCTGTTTGACTTTCCATTTCACGTCCTGTTTCACTTTCTATTTCACGTCCTGTTTCACTTTCCATTTCACGTCCTGTTTGGCTTTTCATTTCACGTCCTGTTTGGCTTTCCATTTCACGTCCTGTTTGGCTTTCCATTTCACGTCCTGTTTGGCTTTCCATTTCACGTCCTGTTTCACTTTCCATTTCACGTCCTGTTTCACTTTCCATTTCACGTCCTGTTTCACTTTCCACTTCACGTCCTGTTTCACCACCATCTTCACCCCGTCTACCCCCCATAGTTAATTTTTCTAATGCCTCAATCCTCTTTTCTAGTTTTTTTAGATATTCCAATATTTGAGTACCAACCTCAGAGTTCACTATATTGACCTGAACCTTGTTTCCACAAGGTTTAATTTTTTCAGCTGCATTTCCTACTTTCCCTAGGCTCGCCTTAATTGTCTCTGTTCCTTTCTCCCACACATTGTTCATAGGCGCTGTCATTGGCTTCCAACTGTTTCCTCCATGTTCCTGCTGCACAATCTTTCCTTCCTTCGAGGATACATCTATCCTGCTTGTAGCACCCGTCCTCGAGTCTCTCAGATGAGGCTTCATGCGACATAGATAGGAACCAGCATTGTGGCTTCCTCGACAATTGCAACAAGATGGGACGATTTTTTCACCGTTTTTAATCTTGACTCTACACTCTCGAGAGTCGTGTTTCTTACCACAGTACCGACACCTGGAGTCAAACTGGCATTTCCAAGCCATATGTCCCCAACGAGAACACTTCATGCATAATATGGGCTCCTCAATGTATTTTACAACTTTCCTGTAGCCTAGTCCTTGCACAAAAATTCTTTCTGGAGCCTCACCCTTTACCAAGGCAACAACCTGGCTTTGTTTTTCACCACGAACACTGTTCCTCTTTGCCCAAACAACACTATCATTGTTGAGCAATAGATAATCAGGATCCAAATAAGTTGGATACTTAAACACTATGACCTTGGTGTACATCATACCTTTTTCCGGAGTAACCATCACAATATTCTCAAACCCATCCTTCGTTAGGTGTTCCACGGCCTCCTCTGTCCCAACTGTTATATAGGGCCGGTGAAGACCCTCCTTGAATAGTGGTTCATATTCAAAAAACTCCTTAGCCAAACGAACCGTCCACTCCAGCTTTTGATGGAAATTCAGTTGACATGCTGTAGGGAACAACAGCCTCTTCCTTCCATTAGTCTGCATCTCCCGCGTCCTGCTGAGCATGTCTTCATTTTTTGGTCTCTTTGTTATTTCCTCCTCACTGTCTTCGTCTCGCTGTCTTTGAATATTTCTCCGTTTATATCTGTTTACTACTGCTTGATACGGCCTAGTATCATCCTGTCTGCCATCCCCACTGTCACACTCTCCAGGCCCAGTACAGGATCTTCCATCACCTAGGCAGACCGCCTCAGCCATTTCCTCGATACACAAAGGCACTGTATCACTGCAACAGTCGAGAACAAATTCACAACATCTAGCTGCAGCAGCCACGTGCAAACACGAAGATGCGGAGCAACACGTCCTCCTCGCATCATGCAGCAGACCGCACTGATTCAGCATTATTATTATTAAGCCCCTAATATGCATAGCGTTTCGGGCAAGTTTACCCGACCCGCTAAGCGTGTGGTGGCTTTTCAAGAATGTAAAATCATCATTTCTATGTTCTCTCTTAATCCCCAATGTACCTTCTTGTATATAAATAAATATTTGTTTAAATAAATAAATAAATAAATAAATAAATGAGGTGTGGAAGCAAAAAAAACCACTAAAACTTAATAGTAATTGAGATTAAAGTATAAATAATAGTAATTGAGATTTAATTAGTTTAATTTATTAAATTTATTTTATATTAATTTTTGTAATTATTGAATTAATAGGAGTAGTTATTATTAGTGGTACTAGAGATATATGGAGTATGAGGCGTGTGTGTGGTGAGGGCTGAGGCCAGGGCCCACTACCCACAACACGCCGCCACATAATAATAATAATAATAATAATAATAATAATAATAATAATAATAATAATAATAATAATAATTAATGATGATGATGATGATGATGATGATGATGATGATGATGATGATGATGATGATGATGATGATGATGATGATGATGATGATGATAATAATAATAATAATAATAATAATAATAATAATAATAATAATAATAACAATAATAATAATAATAATAATAATGATAATAATAATGATAATAATAATAATAATGATAATAATGATAATAATGATAATAATGATAATAATGATAATGATAATAATGATAATGATGATAATAATGATAATAATGATAATAATGATAATAATGATAATAATAATAATAATAATAATAATAATAATAATAATAATAATAATTATTATTATTATTATTATTATTAATAATAATAATAATAATAATAATAATAATAATAATAATAATAATAATAATAATAATTATTATTATTATTAATAATAATAATAATAATAATAATAATAATAATAATTATTATTATTATTATTATTATTATTATGATGGAATACTGAACTAAAGATGGACTTTCTTTAGTTCAGTATTCACAGTGACATTTAAAGCAAGAGGGTCAGGACTGGAGAAGATGAAAGTTGTGTCGTCAGCAAATAAGATTGGTTTGAGGCGTTGAGAGGCATTTGGAAGGTCATTAATGTATATGAGAAAGAGGAGAGGGCCAAGTATGCTGCCCTGAGGAACACCAATGTTGATGGGTAGGGTGGGAGAAATGGAGTTATTCACAAAAACATACTGGAGCCTGTCAGTAAGGTAAGACTGAAGGTATTGGAGGGAGTGACCTCTGACTTCATAATGATGTAATTTAAGAAGAAGGTTTTGGTGGTTTACAGAGTCAAAAGCTTTACGCAGGTCCACAAATAACCCAACAGGTTATTTGTTAACCTGTGAGAAATAGTGCTCCATGTTGCCCTTAATTTGGGTGAATTTATTTTCGTAGTTAGTTTGGCTCTTCTAATTATTTTAGACAACAATGATGAGTAAATCTTTGAAACTTCATTGGAGACGACTTCTAACCTATACTTCTTCTCAAGGCCATGTTTTTTATTAATAGATTTAAGTATCCCCTTTGTAAGCCAAGGATTGTTTAGCCTTTTATTTGTGACTTGTTTCGTTAGCATAGGACAGTGGGTGTTATAAAGGCTGAGAGTTTTCTGAAGAAATGTTTGCACTGCTAGGTTGATGTTCCCTGTGTTACTTAATTCAGCCTCCAAGTTGATATTAGCAGCAGCAGCAGCAGCAGCAGCAGCAATAAAGTTGCCTATAGAAGTTTCATTGTGCAGCGTAAAGCTTATCTTCTTGTGTCTAGAGGTGGTTTATTAATGTTGGTTTGGAGAAATGTGGGGTAATGGTCTGTGGTCCTATCAATGATTATCCCTGAAGTAGCGGAGAAGTTATGTTGGTCCAGATGTGATCAAGAGCCGTGGCAGTACTATCAGTGATTCTAGTAGGTCTAGTGATTAAGGGTATGAGGAAGC